CCTCAGTGCAAAGTCAGGGTGATGTGGGTCCGCCCCAGACCGCGGTGAGGACTCAGGGGCGCCAGTTCCCGGCACTCGGTAACTGGTGACACGTGTGTGAACCAGGGCCGGGGACTGGGACACAAACCACCCGTGACGGGAGGGGTCCCTTTCGCGGTGGGTGCGGGCTGGTGGCCCCTGAGTGGCGGGAGCTGCGCCTGCGCGCTCCTGGTGCGCTCAGGAGTGAGTTCCGAATCTTCTGCTGTTCGTGGCTTTGAGCCTAAAGCGTGTCGCCTCCGGGCAGCACGCACTTGGGCCTGGGTCCGCGGTGGGGGTTTGCGCCAGCCCGACTGCCGTCTCTGCCCGCTGATGAAACTGCCCGGCCCTGATTAAGTGCCCTACCACTTAACGGTTCTGATCAGAGTGGGGTGCACATTGCCATTTTGCTTTTGTTTTCTTCAAAAACTGCGTCTGTTTTGTTCTGTCCCTGATTTAAATGGATGACGTGGATGTTTTCTGTTTTGCATTTTAATTCAATGATTTTTTTTTTTCACCGTTTAACAAAATGTCTTTCCAGTTGTTGTTCTAGGTTTCAGGTAGACACCGCAACGTAGCAGAGGCAGCTTCCGGTCTGCAGTAGCTGAATCCCAGAGATTAGACACGGTCCTCCTGTGTAGCTCTGTTTTCTTTCTTTACCCACCTTTTCCGGGTGTCATTACGAATATCGCATCAGTTGTTAAAAACCCGGTAACACGCTGTCGTGGTTACTTTACCATCTGTAGTCGTGTTCTTAGCCCAAACCAGCCTCGCGCCTGCTCCTTCTGTTCTTGGCAATAGAGCACGTTCCTATATACGTTGTATACGTATTGTTGTCTGTAACTTCTTTTTATATCAGTGAAGGCAAGGAGATAATACTTTTTTTTTTTTTAAGATTTTCTTGGGGAATTGTGGGAGGGGAACAGCGCTGGGGAATTGGGGGAAGGGGAACAGACAAGTTGCTGTCCTTTTGTTCTTCAGTCTAGTTGTGGAGGACGTTGCTTCACTGGCCCAAGTTGGCACCATCATTGCGCTCTTCCCGGGCGAGGCAGATCAGTCGCCGGCTTCTGGACGCCGCTCCCCTGCGGCTGCTGGCCCGCTCACGCTGGCTGCTGGCCGCTCACGCTGGCTGCTGGCCACATACGGTAGCCCATGGCAACCCACTGCAGCAGGGGCTGCAGCCTATGCTGTCGCCAGCAACTCACGGCAGCCCAGCTCCAGGTTGAGCTATTGTTCAGCATCTTAGCTGTGGAGGGCAGTGTCACTGGCCCTCATATGTGGGATCCGAACCGGGGCCCTCTGACGTCCCAAGCCAGCTCTTAACCATCGCGCCACTCGGCCGGCCTGAGATAATAGTCATTTCAACAGTCTTCTATGAGGACATCATTACTTTTACTGGTGTGCTCTTTTTTTTTTTTTTTCCTTTGGGTTTGCGTTGCCAGCTGAGATGGCTTGCTTTCAGCCTGAAGAGCTTCTTCTGTATTTCCTGTAAGGCGAGTCTGCTGGCAGCACATTCTCGCCGGTCTCGTTTCTCTGGAAGCGTCTACTTTGCCTTCACTTTTGACGGATAGCTTTGCTGGGTTACGGGATTCTTGGTTGACAGTGTTTTTCTGTGAGAACTTTAAATACGTGTGCATGTTACTCGCTGTGGTCTGGCCTCCGCGGTTTCTGCTGACCAGTCAGATAGGTGTGCTGCTCAGGCTTCCCTTGGAAGTACGGAGTCATTGTCCTCTTGCTGCTTTCGAGGTTTTCTCTTTGTCTTTTCAGCGTTTTTACAATAATGTGTCTGTCTGTGGCCCTCTTGACATTTATCCTGCTTGGAATTCAGTTCTTTGAGATTCCTGGATGTGTAGGTGGTTGTTTTTTAGTAAATTTGGGGTGTTTTCAGCCATTATTTCTTTGAATATCTGTTCTCCTCCTCTCTGCCCTTCTTTCTGGTACTATCGTTACACATAAATTGGTTCCCTTAATGGTGTCCGACATTTCTCTAAGATGCTTCGTTGTCTTCATTTTTTCCCCTCTCTGTTCTTCGGCTTGCATATCTATCAGTCGTCCGTCTTCAAGTTTGCTTATTCTTATTTCTGCCAGTTCGTAGCTACTGTTGAGCCCCTCTAGTGAACGTTTTGTTTCAGTTAAACTTTTCAACTGCAGAACTTCCGTTTGGTTTGTTTTTATAATGTCTGTCTTTTTATTGATAATCCTCTATTTGATGCATCGTTATCATCAAGTCTCTTTCCTTCTTTAATCATGGCTTCTCTTATCTCTCCAACATTTGATAAAGCTGCTTTGAAGCCTTCTGCCAAATCCAACACCTGGTCGCTCACAGGCAGGTGTGCCGCCTGCTTTTATTCCAGTGTATGGGTCTACTTTCTTGTTTCCTCACGTGCTTCATAATTTATTTGGTTGAAAACTGGACGTTTTAGATAATATAGCAACTCGGTACTGGTCCGCATCCCAGGGCTTGTTACGCTTTTTTTATTTGTTTAGTGACTGGGCAGATTATTCTGTTAGTGTCAGTCGACGTGTGTCGTGTCGTCCCCCCCCCCTAGTGTGGAGCTCTGAGGTGGTTTGCCCCCCAGCCACCTGGGATAGCAGTGCTTCTAGGAGGGCTCGTCCTCCCACCACACCCGGCTGTTAACCTCCATTAATGGCCAGCTGATTGCTCAGTGACCTGGGGCATAAATTGCTCTACAAACAATCCAACCGTGCTCTGGCTTCTTTTGAGGAGTAGTTTCTAAGGTCCGTGTCTGATATTTGTTCTGACCCCCCCCAGTGGGGAGAGGGTCCAGCTGTGTTAGTATTCCCTGGTCACTCCTGCAGACTAGCTGGCCTACAGTTTATCTGTTGTGTATAAATTCTCCTCCCAGCTGCCTTCACTCACAATCTCCCACTGTTTTTGAGAGCCCCCTGCTGCAAATGAAGTCAGTTCCTTTGGGAGGAGATTAAAAGCCTTCTGTTTTGATGCCTGCCTCTCCCCCAGGCAAAATCTCTGAGTCAGGGCTCTGTCAAGCTGGGGACCACAACAGTGTGACACCCCTGCTCTAGGAGCTGAGCGCTCAGGGGAGGGGGGCCGTGGCAGCAGCCTGAGATCCGTTGGGCTTGCCTCTCCTGGCCCGGAACCGCTGCCTCCCAAGCAGGGGCAAGGGTGATGGGCCCCGTCTCTGCCCTGTGCCCAGAGTGGAGCCTCCCTCTGGTCCACAGGTGGGTCTGGGCAGGAGGGAGCCTCCTCCTCTCAACCGCACTTACTCAGGACGGAGCCTCACGTGGACTAGGATGAGGGAGGAAAGCCCTGACTGGGAGCAGGGGGGACCCTGTGTTCTGGCCGTGGCCGTCTGAAGTTTAAACACTGCAGCTTTCGTTCCCGAGTTTTTATAGCTGTTTGTGAATAATTTCCTAAGTGGCTGTTTGCCTGCAGGACCATTTCCAAGGGCTTTACCTAGTCATTTTTTTAATACTTTTCACCAGTTTCACTGGGGAGACGGTCAGTGGAACCCCTCGTGCTGTCATGTTGGGAGTCAATCATCTCCGTCCCGTTTTGGGAAACCATATTTCTGCCTTTGCCCGCCCAGTTTTTTACCGGTCTGCTTGGGAGGAGGAAGACCTTGGTGGTGGAAAGGTCTTCCTTTAGGGATTGTGTCCATGGAAGCAACCAGGTTGCCCAGCTGAAGAGCGACAGCTCTCCAAGTTAGGAAAAACGTAGCGGGTTCTTGACATGTTGGAGCAGCCACCGCACAGGTGGGTGGCTTTACCCATGACGACACAGAAGCCAAAATGGGGTCTACCAGACTTGGCTGTTGCAAATCTAAAGTCGACGGTGAATGGCCTGCTTGGCGCCTGTGACAGTCCCAGCTCCCAGGCCTCATCCAGACCCACTGAGTTTACTTCTGCGGGGAGGGCAGGAGAGCGGGACGCTAACTGGCCCCCCATGGGGCCTGTTGCACCCTAAGATTTCGCAGCCACCGAGAAGCACACTGCTGCTGGTGCCCTAGAGGCAGGTCTGTCGGGTTTGGAGCCGCAGAGCGGACGGCAGGCTCTCTGTCTCTCTGTTCAGCTCTCTGTGAGCGGCGGGCAGTGTCATACCGGGGGGAGTCGTGGGTGATGGAGCAGGGTGAGAGAGACCCCAAACAGGTTCCTCACCCAAGCCGCCCTCACCTAAAGCTCTTTTTAAAGCTGTTCGAGCACCAAGGACAGTGCCTGGTACATCAACACTCAGTGACAGTGGCAGCCATCATCAGGACCCCTGAAGGGCAGAGCACAGTCCGTGTACGAAAGTGTCTGCAGCAGGACTCATAATGGGACAAGGAGAGCCAGTGGCCTCCTGGGACTAAAATTGTCCCTTCCTGTCATGGGTATGGGAGCGCTTCAGGAAGAAGCTGGTAGGGCTTTGTGTCTGTGGACAGATGTTTTGCAGCCTCCGTGGGCTCAGGTCTTTCTGTGTGACTGTTACCACACCACTGCCAGCGCCCTGTCAGGAGACCCCTGCCTTTGGGACCGTGCGAGCCCAGGCCCGACCCCCATGGCAGCGGGACCTTACCCCCCTGGCCTGCCGCGCCTTGTCCGGGCTGAGTTTCCTTTTTCTGTTTAAATGCCTCTGGAACTGTTGGTGTGTCACGCAGCCTTGGCGAGCTGCCATCTCCAGGGGCCTCGGACATCGTGGGCCGCGAGTCGGGATGGCCGCGGTGCCGTTGTAATGATTTCTAAATCAGCTTCCTTCCTTTCTGTTCTCTTTTCTGCTGAGCGTGCGGCCCTTCGTCTGTCCTCTTCTGGGTTCGCAGTTCCAGGGCCCTCGTGACCACGGCTTTGAAGCCTGTCACCTGCAGCATCTGCCCTTTATGACTCCACGCTCTTCACTGTTCACTGTTGTCATTGTCTGCGTGTATGTGGTTTCCGTTCTGGCCTTTATGACTCCACGCTCTTCACTGTTCACTGTTGTCATTGTCTGCGTGTATGTGGTTTCCGTTCTGGCCTTTATGACTCCACGCTCTTCACTGTTCACTGTTGTCATTGTCTGCGTGTATGTGGTTTCCGTTCTGGACCGGGAAAAGGAATTAGTGGGAAAACTGCCGACATTCACGTCAAGTCTGCAGTTTAGTTACCAGCGTTGGACCAGCTCTGACGGACGTACCGTGGCTGTTCCGCGTTAGGGAAGCGGGGTGACGCGTACACAGGAGCGCCCTGTACTAAACACCTACAGTTATTCCCAAATAACATTCTCTAAGGTTCATTGTTCTAGTGAACTCCTTTCTCATTAGGAGACTTCCCTTTGCATCCAGAGTAAAATGGAGGCGGGCCAGTTTGTTCATGTTGGGGGTGATCAGACAGACAACTGCTTAAACTGAAGGAATTAGGACTGTTTCTACCTGTAACTGGAGGGGGCATTACATGGGCAGGCAGTCTTGTTTTTCACGTTATCTTTTATCAGGAACTTGACACCAGATAGAAGTTTGAGAACCTTCTGAGGAAGGATATGTGCTGCTTATTCTAAACACATTCGAAGCTGACTCAGTACCTATGAACTTCTAAACGGAGGCTCCTAGGAGCGTAGCAGATGAGGAAGACAAGTACCCCAAGCTTCCAGGACAGTGGGAAGAGAAGTCTTGCCCGTGGAACTTGGAGCTTTGTTTGCACTGGCACACTTAGGTCACAGGTGTCCTCCAGGGTGGTGATAAAAATGTCAGGGGGAGGGACTGTCGTCGGGTTGCTCTCAGCCTCCACCTCCGCGCTGCCTCCCTCGGGAGCGCCGTCTGACCAGCCTTTGCCTCTGGTCTAGCTCACAGGTGGAGTGCGGGCTTCAGCGCGCCTCAGGGCCCGGACCTGTTCCGCCAGCTCGGCCACTGCTCAGGAAGTCAGCATCGCCACGTCCGCCCGGACGGTATGTCAGGTGAGCCATGTTCCTACGAAGACCCAAGGGCTTGACTCAGGTGTCCATTTTTGTACAGAATTTCACTCCGAGATGTGTGGTATTAGAGACCAGCATGGCTCATGTGCCAGACGAGAGGGTGGCGGTGCTGTGTTGCCAGAGACACGTCACTCTCCAATCCAGGGCTCTGCCTTCGAGGGTTTGCCCACCACTGGGCGCGTGTCCGAGGCCCAGTGTCAAGGTGCACCTTTGCTAGTTATTCTCCCTCCTCATCATCACGCAGCCTCTTGCGTGGTGTCCACATAGCGCTGTCCTGTTTCTCACCAAAGGCTTTAAGAGAGCGGCAGAGTGGGCTAGGGACAGGCGCCCCTGTCACCTTTCTGTGTAATGCGCTGTGGTTGCTGGAAGGCCAGTCAGCCCCGCCAATCCACGGCTCAGGTCGGGTCAGGACGTGGCTGTAACCAGCAGCCGGCTGTCTCCCTCAGTGCAGCTCATGGCAACTGCGCTGCAGTCAGCGTAGCAGACGTTTGTCAAGCACCCCCCGCGTGCCGTAAAGCTGGGATCCCTGCCTTCAGGCAGCCTTCGTGCTAGCAGGAACAAACGGAAACTGGATGCTTGTTACAGCTCTAGAGTCTGTCAGCGCAGGCCTCTGAATCTGCCTCAGGAAACGCCACAGCCCTACTGCAGGGGCAGGTGTGTCCACATCCTCTCCCACCTGCCCCTTTGGTGGCAGACAGTGAAATGGCCCTGCTGACCGACCGCAGAAGTAGTGCTTCAGCATCTGCATCTTCTAAGATGTGAAGAAAACTAGCCTCTGGGCTCAGACCGCCTTATCTCCCAGCCGCTTCGTCATCCTGGGTGTCTGCTTTGCCCTGACGTTTCTCTTTCTTGACAGACTTCCTCGGCACACAAAGCCACCGAGAGGCGAATTTCCAAGAAGTTCAAGTATGACAAAGGTCACCTAGTGAAATCAGAATTACAGAAACTAGTCCCTAAGACCGACAGCGCTGCTTTGTCCGAAGCACCACCAGAGACCGCTTGTAAAAATGAGCCCCTGGAGTTTTCCGAAGGCGGCCCGGTGCTCCCAGGAAAGGAAGCCGGTGTTTCTGCACCCCCGGAGGCGGCAGGCCTCCCCATCAGTCACTGCACAGGTGGGAGTGACGCCTGCTCAACAGAGACGGAAGACGGCCTGTCCCTGCCCGAGCAGGGTGCCCTTCCCGAAAAAGGGTCTAACAGCAGCCCTGCCCCGTGGGAGGAGCCCACGCCCGAGCCGGGCCAGGGCCAGGTCGCCCCGCTCCAGATGGACAGCAGCGTCTTCCTGGACGACGACAGCAGTCAGCCGATGCCAGTGAGTCGGTTCTTCGGGAACGTGGAGCTCATGCAGGTAAGGTGGGGGCGCCTCCCTTCCAAGGTGCTCCCCAAGGGCTGCGCTGGCACGTGACCTTGTGCAGGCACGACCTCAGCAGTCAGTGGCCAGTAAGGATGGTAACCCAGGACAAGAAAACAAAGTGCTACTCACTGGGGGCACGCCCACCCTCTCCCAGGCTGGGGTCACTGCTGGCATCTCCACCGTGGCCTCGGTGGGGTGGGTTGCCCTGGAGCGTGTGTCTGACCTCACTGCAAGGTCAGGAAGTCGTGTCTGGTTTTGTGACCGGCTGCCCCTCACGTGCGGAGCTGTCTTTGGTTTTCCGGTCTGGTCTTTCCCTCGATGTGGAATGTGCTGTCATCCGGAGAGCAGTGCTGTGGCTCTGGCCCCCGCGGTCTGCCCCATGCAGAGCTGGGAGGTGGGTGAGCCGCGGGGGCCGGTGCTAACGCAGTGGGTTGTTCGTGACTGAGGCGAGTGTTCTCTCCCCCCAAGGACCTCCCACCAGCGTCTTCATCTTGCCCTTCAGTGAGCAGACGAGAATTCCGGAAAATGCATTTCAGAGCCAAAGATGACGAGGAGGATGAGGAGGATGCAGAGATGTAGGGAATAAAATACTTGTGACAGTTTCTTTGCCTATTTAGTGCAGTTAATCATTTGACAGTTTAGCAAATTACAGAATTTATGTAAAATTTATCCCCAAGAGGACGTGTCCTTAATCGAACTTCAGAACTGACCCCTAAAAGTCAACAGTGCAGACGCCAAACACTGGGGAGATGGACGCCTCTGAGCTGAAATCGCCGTGGAGGGTGGAATGTTGCTGCTTTCTTTCCAGGTCACGGCTGCGCCTGCACATGGGCAATGATGTTTGCGTCGGCTCGGGGGCCTGGGTTAAATGAGAGACGCTTGTAAGAACTGCGGTGGACCTCTGTAGTGTTGATAATGTGCACGTTTGTTCCCTTATGGAAACTTGATCGGCCTTGCGATGGACTCAATGGCAGTTCTTAAAGAACTCTGTTTCTGTATATGAAGCTAATGTGTACCTGGGAATTTTGCAAAATGTACATGAGAAGAAATAAAATATATTTTGAAAGTATTTTTAAGGAAGTCTTACGTGTATGACCCTGAAACTGGATTCATTTCTGAAACGTTTCAGAGCCAAGTGGAAGAAATGCCGCCTGCCTTCCTCATCCTGGTAAGGCTGGAGCGGCACAGCCTTGAGTCCAGCCCCCCAGCTGAGCGCTGAGGCTGTGGACCTGAGGGGACACAGCCCCCCTCTTGTTCAGCGGTCTTCAGCACATCCCTCACCCCAAGTGGTAGGGAGGTGCCATCCTGTGGTCTTCTCCACAGTTCCAGCTCCACAAATGCCTTGCGTTCCCTAAGTGTTAAGTGTGTCTTGTTATGTTAATGAGGTGACTTTGGGACCCCATCCAAGGGTGGGGGCTGGTTGCAGTGGTTAGAGGGTTGGAACACTGAGTCCCACCAGGGAGGACCATCAGGGAGGGGACAGGGGCTGGAGGTTGACTCAGTCGCCAGTGGCCAATGATTTAGCCAATCGTGATTCTGTAATGAAGCCGTCATAAAAAACCCAGGACACTCTTCCGGGACGGTGTCTGCAGGCATTCAGAGCGGTGCAGCGTTTGACATCCCGTCGGAGGCTCTCCTACAATACAGCTTCTAACCAAACTAGGCAGCCCCAAACCCCTGGTAGTAGAATTGTTTCCCTTTATACCAAGAAGGTTGGGAAAGCACCAGAGTCTGCATGTGGCGTGTGCCCAGGCCGACTCCACGGAGTTCGTGCTGTGAGACCTAAAGTTCTAATGAGGTTGAAATGAAAAAACATGTCAGCAGGGCCTGTGGTGGGTCCATGTGTGCTAAATGTGTCCGTGACAGGATCGAGCGTGCTTTCCTCATCGAGGAGCAGAAAATTGTTGTGAAAGCGTTGAAGGCACAAGCACAGTCAGAAAGCTAAATAAAAAAATGAAGCTTTTTTGAATAATAAACACGATTAAAAGTCTTAAAAAAAAACCAAACAAAAAAAAAACCCTAGGACAGCTCATTGGTCCTTTCTTCGGAGAGCTTCCTGGTTGGTGAACACGTGGATTCGGGGAGCGTGGTATGCCTGGAGGGGGCATGGCAGCTCCTCATCCTGTCCCCCATACCTTGCCCTGTGCATCTCCCACCTGGCTGTTGCTGAGTTCCAACCTTTTACCATAAACCAGTACCGTGTTTCTCTGAGGACACCAGTCATGCCAGCAGCAACGAGGGCTGTGCTCTCCTCCATGGGGCAGTGTTACCAGGCACACCTGCCCTGCCATGGACTACACTTTCCAGCTCCCCTTGCGTCAAGGAGCACCTTGTCATGTATTCTTGCCAGTGGGTAGAAACACTCTGTAATGTTGGCCTTTGCAAAATGATAACAGTTGTGCGCCACATAATGACATTTCGGTCAATGATGGGCCATGTACAGGATGGTGGTCCCATCAGGTTATAATGGAGCTGAAAATTTCCCATCACCAGTGACATCGTAGCCATCATAACTCATAGCACAACGCGTCCCTCGTGTGTGTGTGTATGTGTGTGTGTATAGGGGCGATGCTGGTGTAAACAGACCTCCGCTGCCTGTCGTGTAACAATCTAGCACACGCTTGTATGTCCAGTATGTAACACTTGATGGTGGTGATAAATGTATTTACCATTCTATACTGTTTACCCTTATTTTATAGTGGATTCTTTCTACTTATAACAACGTTTGCTGCTGCCTCATCCATCTCGTGTTGACCATGTCTCTTGATAGCATCGTTTTCTCTTGTAGCCCAGGAGCAGTATGTACCTCACAGCCTAGGTGTATAGTGGGCTGTTTGTGTAATTTCCAGGTTAGTGTAAGTGCCTCCGTGATGTCCACACAACCACGAGATCCCCTAACAACGCATTTCTCAGAATGTGTCCCGGCTGGGCGGAGAGTGGAGAGCACCTGTGGGAGCGTCCTCTAAGTATTATATGTTCCTGCAGCTCTGTATTTCCCGCGTGGGGAACCCTCAGACCAGCCTCGGCTTCGTCACTCACAGAAGAACTCACGGGGCTCAGGAAAGCCAACACACTCATGGTCACAGTTCATTACAGGGAAAGGACACAGATCAGAATCGGCAGAGGGAAAAGGCACATGGGGCAGGCGAAGTCCAGGAGGAGCCGGCACAAGCTTCCAGAAGCTTCCAGAAGTGGAGTCAGGAGACAGGCAGGACATGGGAGACACGTGTGAAATGCTGCCAACCAGGGACTCTCACCCGGGCCTTGGAGTCCAGGCGGTGTTGGGGGTCAGCCCCACAGGCTCGGAGCACCCCTGTGAGGACCGCGGCTGCTGGACTGCAGCCCCACCTCCAGGCCACTGGTACAGTGGGGCCCAGGGTCTCGGGCTCAGAGCCACTGTATTCCAGGGAGTTCCCGGGCCCAGTTCCCCCAGGAGGAGTGAGGGCAGTCTGCACACAGGCTTTCTGAAATGAATGGGGACTGGCGGGTTTCAGCAGTCAGTCAGGCCCCACTACAGCCCTTCAGGGGCTTCCCAGAGCTTTTGGGAGTGAGACCCGCCCCTTCCCCTGGGTTCTCAGTTTGCAGCCTTCTGGAGGCTCGAAGCCCCTCCCCTGGTCATACCTTTGGCCACAGTAGCCCCCCCTGGGACTAACACCTCATTCTTCCCCCAGCTCTGAATGTCTGGCTCCCGGGGCCGGCTGATTGGCTCAGTTGGTAAGAGCGCAAGCTCTGAGCAGCAGGGCCCGGGTTCAGATCCCACATAGGTCAGTGGCACTGCCCTCTACAGCTAAGATGGTGAACAACAGCTCCACCTGGAGCTGGGCTGCTGTGGGTCGCCGGTGACGGCAGAGGCTGCAGCCCCTGCTGCAGTGGGCTGCTGTGAGCTGCCGTGAGTGGCCGGCAGCCAGCGTGAGCGGCCAGCAGCCAGCAAGAGCTGCCAAGAGCCGCCATGAGCGGCCATCCAATGGCCTGTGAGCGACTGCCTCAGCCAGGAAGAGCGCAATGATCACAACCCCAACATGGACCATTGAAGCGGCGTCCTCCACAGCTAAACTAAAGAACAAAAGGTCAGCAACTTGTCTGTTCCCCTTCCCCAATTCCCCAGCACTGTTCCCATCCCCTAATTCCCCAATAAAATCTAAAAAAAAAAAAAAAATGAATGGCCAGCTCCCCCCTTACACCTCTCTCTGCTTAAGTGGTTTCTGCCCGTGCCCGCCATCCTGCACCCTTTGTTCCCTCCCAGCTGCCAGAGGCTAGGAGGCTGTGGCCCGGGGTCTGGGAGTCCTGGCATTGCAGCAGGCTGAGGCTGCGATGGTCACCCACTGGGCCTGGCCCTGTGAAGCACATTCTGGACTCCAGGGCCCTCTGGCCGTGGGTGACCTCATGCCTGCATGGCACAGGAGTTGCTCTACCGCCAGCTGCAAGACCTTCCCTCCTGCTGAGAATGCACAGACCACAAACCCGTATTTGCAAAGAGGTTCAGCTACCTGCTCTACTTTGGGTGACATAACTCCTGACAGGTGACCCCACCTTCAGCACCCAGCACCTGAGGCTGAGGGCCAGAGCAAGCAGAAAACAACAAAACGATGCAACTATGGGAGTCTTGTGAGTCCTCGAAGTTTTCTCTGCCTGGCTCTCTGGTTCCTGCCTCCTGCAGAAGTGAAACTGCAGACCAGGAAGGTGAGGAGGGTGGGGTACAGGAGCTGACAGCCATGGGGCAGCGGCCCGAAGTCCTAATAGGTCAGCTCCCAAGCCCAGTGACGGGAGTGGCACTGCTCGGAGCGGCTGGTCGGGGCGAGGAGCCCATCCCTCTGCTAAGAAAGCTCATCACGAGGACACGCTGCAAAAGGTGCGCTTCCAGGACTGGACAACGGACCAGCCAGTCCCCAAACTGGCAGTCTCAGAGCGGGAGGGGTCTCGGAGGCTCCCTGCACAGACGGGGTCTGCGAGCTCCAGAGACCCTGACCTGTGCCTGTAGGACCTGAAAGGAGACGTCCCTCGGCCCGTACGTCCTGATTAGACAGGTAAACACCACATAATAAGGTGAGACTTCTAACATTCCACACACAGTGGGCTCGATCTAAGGTATTTCTATATTTCAGTGAAGAAAATGCAACAATTTGGGTTAGTTTTTAAAATCATTGACCCCTTCTTTTTATCCTTATTTTCATCATTTTCAATGAGTGCAAACTTTTTTGACATGTCTATTTATGAAAAATGTTTATTGGCTTTTTCTGATTATATAATGTGAAAATTCAAATGTTACAAAATGTAAACAATTTTTTAAATTATGAAATGCACATTTCAAAAATTTCAAGTATAGTCATTCCTCAGTGTCTGCAGAGAATGGGTTCCAGGACCACCCCCATTCTAAAACCCACAGATGCCCAGGTCCCTGACATAAAATGGCAAAGAGCAGTCCACAGTCGGCCCTGCACGTTCTCAGGCCCCACGCAGGTGTGGAGCCCGCGTTATAAATGCATGATTCAGAAAATTGGTCCTTTGTAATCCAGTCGCACCCCCACCCCATCCCAGGACCACTGCTGTGCACAGACATGTGTCTCCTTGCACAGTGTCTCTCCACGCACTGACACGTGTGTGACACGCTTGTAGCCTTTCATGAATCAAACAGGTCATACTCTGCATTGTTAAGCCACTTGCTCGTACACTTAACAGCTTCCTATTTCTACACAATAACGCTTAAAACTGCTACCCAGTTTTGCGCTGTGTAAATGTATTCGATTGAGTCATAAAATTAATGATATCTGACCATTTTGGGGCTACAAAAACAGCAATTTCATCGGGTTCAACATAACGCACAATCAGCCACTCCCATACTGCCTGGCATTTGGAGGGTTCCCTCTTGGCGCTATTATAAATAGTCGGGCAGGGAACATCCTTGTGCATTCTTCATGGAGTGTAAACATTGTACCCGAAAGGGGGCACAACCCATTTTTGAGCATTTAGAAAAGTCTAGAGGACAGGGCTTCCCACCTGCCTGGGGAGGGAGACCCAGCGGAGCCAAGAGAAACTAACAGTATGTCTCCCTAGTGGGAATGGTCACCTTTGGCCACGACGCCGTGTAGCAAGCAGACTGCGCTACACGAGCATACAAAACAGGTCCAGTCGCGGCAGACACAGGTCCCTGACCCCTGCCGACCACACAGCAGTGCCCCCAACATCCTGTCAGTGCCCCAAGCTTGTCCTCTGCTGTGGGCTCTTAGAGGTGCAGGAGACAGATTCAGAAATGTTGGTGAAATCACAAATTCATAGGATGACTTTGTTTAAGTATAAAAAAAAGCACCAGTTAAAGTCACGCAAGTCAGCAGGCCTGGCCAGAGTGGGGAACATGCGCCCGAGTCACCGGCGCTTGCGAGCAGCCCGCTTCCTCTTCACCTTCGTCTGGGGCTTGTAGATTCTGCTTGGGTCACAGCTGAGCTTGTGGGTGGTTTTCTTGTGGCAGGCAATGTGAACTAACTTTAGATTCTCTGACGTGAAAAGCAGGCGGTAAAAATACTCCCAGTCTACTTCCCTTCCATCCTGTTCTTTAATCGCTTCAGCCAGTGTGGGGACAATGGTGCGTTTCTTTTCTATTCTGGAAAGGAAGGTCAGAGAGGGTCATTTTCTGCTGTCACACCCCCACAGGCACAGGTAAAATACCGTTTCCACTCAGTTGTAGCTACAACATAACATAATGTGTGGCTGCTTACAGGAAAAGACAAGTGGAAACCTGTTAAGATTTCAAAAGGAACCATACTTGGCACCATCCCAGAAAGAGTAGGGTGTCAGCGACCCGGAAAAGACTCATCGAGCTGTCGGCAGGACGGGCACTGGGGGACATGCTTCACAAACTCATCAAAGTGCCGTCACAGAGCACGGCCACACACTGGGTCAGGTCTGCCTGGCGAAGCCTGATGCAAGCAGCTCTGCTTGTCAAGCTTTGAAAATTGGAACGGTGCACATTTTTTTAAAAACACTGAAAAGTACCCAGAAAAAAATGGGATTCTGGGAGTCAACCTGAGTCCCGTCACAGCTACTCACCAACAGTCTGCCTTACTGGCCTCCATGCTTTGATCTATGTGTAGATTTACCCAAAAAATGATAATACGATAATATATGAACATTTTTTATAGAACTGACAAGTAAAACTAAAGTTGCTATGACTACCACCATGAATCTCATTTCCCTCCGTCCGTCCCCAGAGATGACCACCGTGAAGGGTTGGATGTGTGTCTTTCCGGCCCTGACCTCACACGTGGGCATGCGTGTATGTGTCTGTGTAGAGACACTATAGTCTTGCTGTGTGTAAACCATTTCACTTGTAAACAATGTGAAGACTGTGCAGTGACAAGTGCAACAGCTCGTAAGCTGAGTCGGTGGAACTGGAGACGCCACAGCGAGGGCTGCTGGCACCCGGGGGACCAGGCTGGCCCAGGTGGATGCCTCTCCCCCAGCGCAGCAAAATGCCAAGTAAACGTACCTCTCTAAAAATACACATAGTTGAGATCAAAAGAAAGAAGGGGGCTCCCCAGCTGCCAGAAATATAGACATCAAGGCTTGACCCACAGGGCAGGTGACATGCCAGCGGCTCCCCAGGTCCTGAAAGAGGCCCCAGGGGGGCCCTTGAGAGCCCGAGGAGATGGGACTGAAACCTCACTCCAGCCATTACATGGGGGACAGAGATGCTGCAAGGGAGTCCGGGGCTTTGGGGAGGAGGAAGGAAATGCCACAATGTCACAGGCCATTGCTGCATAACCAGCCCCCCAAACTCAGTGTTTGCTGTGGGGTGGCCCGGCCCGCTCCTGTGGCCGTGCTCTGCTGGAGGGCTGGCTGCGCTGACCCTTCTCCCATGGTGTCTTTCATCCTCAAGAAGGCCAGGCAGGCTCCTTCAAGTGGCATGGCAGAATTCAAAGAGGACAAGCCCCAACGTGCAATATTCATCAGGTCTCCATGGGTGTCCTGTCTGCTGGAATCCCACGGTCAAGCCAGATTCAGCATCGGGGAACGGGGACACAAGATGAGGACACCAGGAGGTGTGATTCACTGGGTGTCATTACTGTCACCATCTTCCACAGCCACCCTTGGCCCACCTGTCACACAGGCACACGGTGCAGCCTTACACTGCCTCACGTGGCAGGGGCCCATGAGCAAGGAATTCACACAAGGTGGTTTCAGAACCACTGAGCACCTGGGCATCTGGCAGAAACAAATGCAAAACCGCTCTGCAGGGTCAGGTCACTTCAGTGCACAGGTCTGGGCACGAAGGATGTGGGCAGAAAAAGAGTTCCCCCGAGGATGAGCAGCACCCAGACACACAGACACACACCGTGTGGGGAGCAGCAGTGCTTTGGGCAGGGTGCTGTGGCCAACCATGGAGCCCTGGGCCACCCACGCCAAGATGGGCCGCTGAGAGGTTGGGGAGCCATCCCAGGACCACCCCGACTCCTGACACCAGCTGCAGAGCTCAGGTATCAGAAGGACACACACAGATGTCAGCACGGGTTCCCCTGGGGACAGACACAGAAGGGGTTGGAAACGAGGCCTCAACTGTAACTCAGGTGTCTTAGGTGCTTTCAAAACATCGGATTCCAGAAAGTTAGCTGGACATTTTAGGGGCATTGGAAGATCGCTGTCATCCAAGCAGGAAAAATTCAAGGAAAGCGCCTCACTTAAAATAATAAAATGTCCCACGTCTTCCCTTTTGTAGAATGAGCTAGCGTAAATAAGGGTTTTGCTTGTCCTGGTCGAGGCAGGATGCCTCACCATGTAGGACCCTGTGACCGCCGCTTACTAGACCCCAAGAGGCCAGGTCCGAGCCAGGCCCCTCCTCCCACTGTCCACAGATGGGAGCAGGAGGTGAGAGGGGACACATAAGGTCACACGAGTGTGGACAGGACCTGGGCCAGCTCCCGTCAGAGACCGCAGTGCTGAGTGACACGCAGTCACACGGAGTAGGAGCAGGAGCATAGCGTGTGTCCGGCAGCCCCTTCCACACTGCAAGCCAGTCACACCTTTGGGTCTATAACCCACAAGCTCAGCACGTGAGGCACAAGGCAGCCACGGGCGCCCTGGCAGAGACAGGCCCCTCAGACGTGCGTGGGACCTATGAACAGTTCTCAAGGACATGCCCCCAGGCCCTGCGGGCCACATACTCACACGTGGTCCAGGTTCCAAGTGCTGAAGAGGACCCGGCTCTCCCTGTTACCATAGGGGTTGATGGAGTGTCTGGATGCACAGTCGTCCATGTCGAAAGGGCCCTGGGCCAGAAGAGAAGGTGAAGGTCTCGTATCAAGAGCTGCCACTTCAGGGCCGGCCGAGTGGCGCGATGGTTGAGAACTGGCTTGGGACGCCAGAGGACCCCGGTTCGGATCCCACATATGAGGGCCAGTGACACTGCCCTCTACAGCTGAGATGCTGAACAACAGCTCAACCTGGAGCTGGGCTGCTGTGAGTCGCCGGCGACGGCGTAGGCTGCAGTCCCTGTGGCAGTGGGTT